AGCGTGCAATAATAAAATATGTATTCGTATTTTTTAATAGAAATAATAACGCGATAAAGTGAACTTCGATATTCAGCCGTTCTAAGATGTCAAATTTTTGCTAATAACGTTACAAGGGGGATTTATTACGCGGTAGATGAGAAAAAGATCTTTTTATATTCAGCGTATTGTGTATGCATTATTGGTTATTGCATTTGCTACAAATGCTGATATTCTTGCCGACCAGAATTATTACCCTGAAAAATCGCGCGCTTGCTTAAACGGATTACTTTTAAAAATTCAATGGATTAAATTTGACATATGCTTGTCACGCTGGATGTTTTAACACATTTTGGAACTTTATTCGGAATAGTTTCGTATGATATTTATAACGTCTTCGGATCTTACAAACACGTTATGAGACGCGACATCGAGCCATATGGGCCAGTCAGATATAACTATTTTGCGGCGTAAGAAAATTGCAAGATTTAGCTTGACATTCTAGATACCTGTATAAAAACACATTTTTGTTTATTGAAAAATAATATTATATTTTAGCATCTGATTATTTCAAATATTAACATATTCTTTACCTCATCATTAAATGACAATTATACTTTTATCATTTATATAAATTTATCACTATTGTTAATCAAACCTGAATTATTAATCAAGAAAATGTAGACTTTACTTCGAATGCATTAAAAAGAAAAAAAAATATTTGGACAATAGATCCATGGCTCATCCTGCTCTTCTTCTTGAAATATCTTAATGCGTCTCCTTCGAGTCCCTTCGTTTCTATTCGCTGCGTTTATCTGCAGTTGTGCGGACCGAGAGAGGATATCTCGAATGCGCGCGATCCTTTGTCCCCATGAAATTGGAAGAAACACTCGGCGTGCACAGCGGCGTAGGACAACGACGCGACGGCCGAGCTCTCTCACGGAGGTGCATCCGTTCTTCCCTGAATGGGAAGCGCGTGTGTTACACACGCGTGCTCACGCTCACGTTCGCAACCGGCGAAGATCCAGGGCGATCCTTTCGCGCGGCCGCAGGAGGACGCGAGGAGGAGGAGGAGAGGGACGGGCCAGAGAGGCGACAGTTGCGCGAACGGGCCCCTACGGGCCGCGAATGGGGACCCTCGGCTCCTTGGGACGCGAGAGCGTAGCGCGGGAAAAAAGGGTTCGTAAAAAAATGATCGGCCAGGATCTAAGATATAAAAAAAGATTTGTCCCCCTGGCGTTGTTGCGCCCTTACGATATCCTTTCCCCGGGGCTAAGAACGCACGGCGATCACGGGCTCGAGGATCGAGGGGGTTTTTGCAGCTGGCCCCGTCCCGAATTACGGACGAAAAGGATTCGGGGGTCCATTCTTCTTCCCTGGACGAATAAGCTCCAAAGGACCTGCGTCCATGCGAGATGCCTCTGACCTGCACCTCATCCTCTACCGCTGCCCTCGATTCACGTCGGGCCCTTCACTTATCGCTCCTTCCACCATTATGTCCCCTCGACTCAGAGACTTCTGTATGCCTGTCTGTCGTTTTTTCTTTTTATTAGATCGGTTCTCACCCACCTTCGCGATGTGATATGTATTTTATATGTGATCATATTGTCGCGCCGTCCTGCGTCCTGTTGTGACGGGAAATATATTCAAAAGGGTTGTCAAAACGTTCTGAATTTACACGTGTAATGTTCGTGAGTACACATGATACGCTAAATTATTTCCTAATGTGCGTCCCACGAAATTCTTTGCAATTTAAATAGATTATATTTTCTAAAAGAATTTAAAATGTCAGTTGTTGTAAAAACTTTCACTGTTTATATTAATATCATATATTCCTAGTTATATTACGTCTCTTGACACAGCGATTTTTTTGCGTGCAAAGTTAATTCTGTGAAGAAATGAGTGTAAGAAGATAGGCAAATAAATTACAAATTCCAGTCAGTAGCGACCGTAGCGTATCAGAAAATTTTAATCAGACGTAGATAAGGAGCGCGCGTGTTTTTGAACAAAGATACCGCCGGATCTTTACGAGCGTGTATCTTGCTGCAGAGATTTTTGGGTTACTCTTGTAAGGTCCCTTTGTACGACGGCGTGTTTTTGTATTTAGGAAACTTGGCTCCTCCCTCGAGGTACATGTCCTCGACCAGAACATGACATAGAACTCAGGAAAGCGTCCGACAGGATTATGTCACATGGTCTAGCACGCCGGGCGTCCTCAAACCAGATTCGTTTTCGCGGTTCAACGAGGATCGTGAAAGATCACAAATTGCTCGGACAATTTTCTATGGGAGATCGATCTTCCTTACTAAATGCCTGCTCTTCTAGAGACGTCGAATGGGATTATGTCGCGTGAAACGAAATGGATTTGCTTGACTCACACGCTGGAGAAAAGGTGTTTCTGGACAACGGACACTAAAGCAAATTTTGCGAAAACAAGCTTTTAACTTTTTTTTCAACAAATTTTTTACTTTTAAGATTGATATTTAAATATTTTGACAACAAATTTGTAACTTTTAAAACACTTAAATTTAAAATTTTCATGAAAAATATTGTTTGCAAACAATTAGCGATTGGCTAATACCGAATACAATTAAAAGGAAATGTTTTCTTGTAATTCATAACGAAATTGTTGTTCCTTAATTAAGTATTCATAACGTATTATTGATGTTTACATAGTTTCCATTGCGATTATCACAACGAGCTCAATTTCCACGCCTTAGTAACGACGGAATTCGATTCTTATCTGTCTCGAGGCTGCTGTCACCGTTATTGGAATATTCGCGCGTAACGGCATGAGCTCGAACTACCTCCGCGCGAATACTTTCGTTCTGCGCTGCTTAATCTGACGAATAATCACGTGCTCGCACTTCATTCGATCGAGTATGGTAGCTACGATTAATAACTCACAAATGGTAGTGACTCAACTTTGGGCGGAGCGTTGCGACGCAATTCGGTTGGTGAAATAATTGAAAGATTGATAATCATTCATCTAAATTACGAAGAATAAATTATACAAAAAAGATAAGCGAGCTTAAATTTTTCGGAGACTTCAAATGCGTAATACATGTCACTTTGCTCATGGCAACGTTATCTCTCGAACAAGAGACACCCTCACCAAATTATCGCAACGTGTTGTTGTACGGAATAAAGTCCACGCGTACGTGGGTCTAACACCGCCAATAAATTAATTCCAGACTGAAAAAACCTCCGGCCCGGAATTTTTCGTCCGTGGTCATGCAGAAGATGGTGGCGTCGCACCGCGTCGCCACGCCACGAGAGAGGGAGCAAACAATTGTACAAATAGCGCTGTATTTCATGATAACACATGTACAAACAGCCTTACGTAAAGCTGGCAATTACGATAAAACTGGACGGGCGAGAAAAAACATCGCGCCGCGCGCTTTTCGTGTACACAGAATGGGAGGAAGGCAAGTGACGTGCGGTGGCGAGAAAACACGTGTCTTTTGGGTCATCGCAAGCAGTGACGTTGCGTGGCAATTAGCTCTCTGCGGCGCCTAATAAAATTCGATTTAATTGACCAAGACCTTTAGAAAACTTGTCTTCTTTTATATGAAATGTTATTTTTAGAATGATACTTTTGGCGAAAAGAAACAGATGATAAAGAAAATTAATCAATATTGTAATATATTCTCTTGATAAGATTTGCAATGTTTATCATACACATATTAATTTACATACAAAAAATAAAAAAAAATATTTGCTTTATCAACAATGACTGACTTGTGAAAGTTGAATTATTACAATTTATCACAACACCATAGAAAATAATTCACTCTAATTTAATTATTCTGTATACAATCGCGATTACTTATACTTTAAAAGGTAATTTATATTTCACCAGCGAATTAATTAGGATCTTTCGTCAAAAATTTAATTAAATTTCTGTCGCACATTACGGACTCACGTGCAACGCAAACAGTACGTAGCACAAACATTGCACCTTTGTGATTGTCGCAGAATTCCTACTGTACTGCTCTAGGGTGGGTCCTTCGCGAACGTGTATGCAAGATTGTCTTCCCGCAGGTGCAATCCTGCGACCCTGTATTAGCATTGCTCACGCCGTAACCGTCTCAGCGGAATTGTGTTTGGACGGGAGGTTGATTAATCATTATCATATCTTCGCGGCTAGGTAAAGAGAACGGCGTGAATCATTGGCTCGTAATGTCGCGAACTAATCGAGTTGTAAGAGACAATGCGCGAGATTTTCTCCTTTTCCTCAACTTTTCACATTACGCGGTAAGAAATTATTGCAAATTTATAATATCACGTACTTGTGATGCACGTGAAATTAACAGTAAGATATCAGGTAAAATCTGCTATCATTTTTTTCAAAAATTATATCTTGTTAAGATAGTTCCAACGATTTCCCAATTATTCGAGATTTATTTGAAATCTTAAGAAATAAATGTATGCAAGGTATTATCTCTAATTTTTTTAGAATTTTTTGTTACATAGTTATTAAAATATCTTTCATTTAACGTGCCATTTACTGAATGGTTTTCATGGATTAATCAACTTAGACAATTTTGTTTAATTATAAAAAATTACTTTTAAAGTGTACACAAAAAATTGAATATAATTAGATAAATGTGTTATAAGAACTATATTTAAATTTCGCGAACATTTATCACGTTATTGTTGAATAATTTTTATGACAAAATTGATATCATTTAATGTCATGCATGGAGAGCAGAAAGACAGCAGCAAGAAGTATATCGTTTGCGTGGGAAGATACAGTCAAGTGAAAACTATTTCGTCTACTGTTTCCTACCATATTTTTCTGCATTCATCTAACTTACTCTACTTACTTTTTATATTTTTTGCAACAATTGTATCGTTTAAATATAACATAATTAAAAATAAATATATATAAATATAAGAATACTTAATAATAAGAATGGATAGATTACAAATATTTATATTCGTATACGAAAAATGTCCTTATAAGTACATTTTTCGTTTCATGTGCACTTATTCAAAACTATTTTGCATTCTTCCAGGATCACTGACTAAAATTAGCCCTCGAACTTCCTGGAAACGAGGGTAGCTGCCCTCTGACGCAGAAGTAGGGAAGTCGCTGATACCCCGTCCGGACTTCAAGCAGGGCATGCGTCGACTGTACGTCAGGCATCTACCGTATCGATCGTGTGTGCGACAGGGGTAAGTAAAAGAGGACTCCAAGGGGACCAGGCTAGGAAGCCTGGGCGCGTATGAGCGGTACCTAAGGTGCGCGAGCGCGCGCGCGGCTCCTGCGGCTAGGCAACCCAACTTACATGAGATTACGCCGAGCCAATAGCACGGCAGGAGCGCCCGTCAAAGGCATATCTCAATGTGTGGTATGAGCCGAGTCTCTAAAAGGGGATTAGAGCTCCTCGTATTCCAGGATATGCGCTCGCACACGTGCGCCCTGACAGACACGTACCACGTCGTGCGTACGTGTATGCCGGCGTGTGTACAAGGATATATTTCTCGCGGAGGTGTGCGCGTACATCGAACGCCGCGCAGGAAGTCTTTGCCGGAGGAACGGATTCTCGAAGACGCGATCAAAGAAAAGAGCGAGAGCCATAGGTGGATAAACGGGCGGATAAAGGGAGGGTGGGACGAAAAAAGATACGTTTTGCAATATATCTGGAACGTACTCGCGACTCGGGATGTTTTCGACAAAGCGCGTTACGCGAGCTTAAAGGACGCATTTGCGATTTCATATGCTGAACCGGCTTTACTTGCTAATTCACGCGAATTATAAGAACTAAATAAAAAATGGATGCGTGTTTTGAAAAGCAAAACTGTTGAACTTGAAGTTACTCGCGAAAATAAATGCGAGTTGAGTTTGTTAATCGAGAAAAGAAGAGATACACAATCTGAGATTTATGAGTAACAATCGATTGTAATTTAGACTAGCGATTTTAATAGAATCACAAAATGTATCACAGTCATCTTGCGTTAAAAATAATTATCTATTGCAATTTTATACATATTTTTTTAAGGCTAAAGATAATGTCTAACATTTCAATGTTCAATTTCAATGCATATCATGAGACAATCGTAAAAGAAAATGTCAAACTTGCAATCACAGTTATTAATATTCAATCAATTATTTGAATTAATTTTAATTGGCATTTTCTAAATCTAATTGACAACATCACTTCCAATTTATCATGCAAAATCTACTTATGCCATTACGAGAGTCTGATCATTCAGGTCGAGGTTTATTTTTTCCCTGCTTCAAGTTCGACGTGCCGATGCGATCGCGGAAGAAAACTTTTCGCGGCAGTTCACCACGAACGAAAGTTCAACCATCGAACGAAACTCCGACGATGAAATAGTGTAACGGTAGGGGCTGGTTTTCAAAGTCGCCGTTGACTTTCACCGTCGCCAATTATACGGGCACGGCGCGTCGCGACGCTTTCGATTTTTGCCGCGGTCCGTGAAGTCGTCCGGCGTACCTTAATTTGAATAAATTTCCGAAGGAAGGTGCTTTCGCGGCTTTTCCACCTCTCCCCCATCTTCTCTTTTGCCGCCGCCGCCACCCCTGAGCGGCCTCATTCACCCCCTTCCCTATTCCGTTACTCTCTCCTTTTCGCAGCGGCGGTGCTGTAAATCGCGAGTTCACTTTCCGCACTTTTCACCTAGTTGGCGCGCTGCCAGGGCAGCAAAGGGGTGAGATGCTGAAAAAAAGCTGCGCGGAAAACGAGCGGGGGTGAGAGTGAAGGGGAGGAAGGGGGGAGGAGAATGCCGGGCCGAGGAACTTTACTTTCCGGGGGTGCGAAACTTCCCCTTTAAGACGCAACGGCCCACAAGCCGCCGCCGGCGCGAACGACATTTTACCACGTTACTTCGCGCTTATCCCCGGAATTACTTCGCTCGTCTCCACCGACCTCGTTTTTGAGCAACTCCGTGAACAAATTGCCCCGTTTTGTGGAATAAATCTAGGGTTTGTAACACGAACAATCGTGGGATAGAAAATTATCGAGCAATGTGTATTAAAATTTAAGTTTCGTGTGGTGGCTTCTTCGTCATGATTTTATCTCAAGTATTATGTAAAACGTTTATTGTTATCTACGTGACAGTTATTTTTCTAAATTATTTCCAAGTTATTTTTCCGAATAATGTCAATATTTTGTCGTTTAATTGCGCGTTGCAAGAAAATTTACAAATATCCCGAATAAATATTGCAGTTTACCGAAGGGTTGCAAATTAAACGAGTCGTGGATTTGCGCAGCGACGACCGGTCGATAATCCATTCGAAACGCTCTCCCTCTTTTTTTCTCTCCATCTTTGTTGACTTGCGCGTACAGGGAATACCAAAAATACCGGACGAATCTGCACGTGCGGTCACGGAGTGGCACGAGGGACGTCACCCCGATGTCCAGTTCTAGTGCCCGACCTGCGCGTTTCGCGTGGCAAGATCATACGGCGGAGACCCAGGATCCGATTGGGCCACTGGATTTCGTCGGGGCGGGTTCTAAGCCGGTTTAGGGGCAATTTGAACATGGAGCCACCCGCCCTTACCGCCCTGACCATGGAGGGTGTGCGGCGCTACCGCGAAGGTACCGACCTGCGGTCACGTGCTGGACAAGATGCGACAGCTCCCTTGTCACGCTCGGCACGTGCTGCACGCGTGCTGTCAGGTGACAGCGAAGATTTATGAGAATTGACGGTGCATTGAGAGACATTGGTCACCTCATCTAATTATTATTCTCGAGAGAAATTACTTTATGCTCTCAAAATCTGCATACTAAGATCATGTATGTATTCATCTATTTGAACAAACAGTATTATTGATTGTAGGATATTTGAGTTGATAATCTCCTTTAATTGCAAGTTCTACAAGAAGTTCTAAGAACTTGTCTTTCACAAAAGTTCAATTTAAAAAAATTTTTGATATTAGATTTATTAACGAGCGAGCTGAGACTGCTGCTATTTCTATCATTTTTTTTAATCTTCAAATATTTGCATCTTACAAAGATTGTTAAAGTCACAGCATTGAAACAAAATGCGTTCATCTTACGATTTGATTAATATCCAAGAAAAATCTAATTATAAAAAAGTGTATTTTTTTTAATCTAGAAAATATTGTGTAAGATCATTTATCATCGTTCTCATATATCCAAACGACAGATGAGAAACAATTGAGCAACAGATTTTGTGAACCGCAGTCGTATTGCAGAGAAGCTCTATAAATAGAAAACGAGATAATTCATTCATTTCTTAATCATTTATGTATATCAATTCTATACATATCGGATCAATTTTACATCTTCTACATATATATATGAAATGGAACTGATATATCAGCCTTCGATTATATTCCGATTCATCTTTCATGAATTTACTCACCCTTTATCGCGAGATCCGTCCGTCAAATCCATTTCGCGTTCGCTCGGACATCGCCAACTGCACGGGACGCGCGTATCTATCTAGTGTCATAGCCGTGATGGACAAGTCACGCGCGCGAAAACCAACGACTACGACTCTCCTCGCGGTGAAGCGCGGGAAGCACGGGGGGAGGAAAACGGTGGATCTCGGGGGTTGGTTATGTGACACACGAGCCACCCCTGCGAATGGCCGAGCGGAGCCCGGCCGCCAAACAATCGATATATGCGTTCAAAATGGCCGCCAGGAACGCCACCCACCCCACTCCACGTCTCCCTTCGCCCCGTACATTTCCCCCTGCCGCCCCCCTCTCAGCCGCGGTCCTCACCCCCGTCGAGCTCTCTACATCCCTCTCACGTATGCCCCCGAAGCTCTTTAACTTCGGAACCCAGCCACTGACTGCCAACCAGCCAATACTACCCTCGTTGTCCGTGAGGGTGTTTCGTTCTCTCTTGAATTCATTCCCCATATCCGTCTCTTCTCCTTTTATCTCTCTCGCTTTGTCTACATTCTTCATTTCTCTCGATTCTCGTCTCCTTTTTTCCCGGGATATCGTTTCTGTTCGCCTTCGGTGAACCGGCACGGTCCCTGCCCTCAAAAATGACGCTCCCGCGCATAGATAAAGCCTGCGAAATTTATTGCCGCTCGCGAAGTGTTGCGCTATCGTGCACGCCGTGCATGAAGCGCGATAAAAAGCGAAGAGCCAAAAAGAGGGCTAACGTGTAATCTAATTTGGATGGATGGGTGGCGCAAGTTTACATTGTTTATCCTGCTGATACTCTTTTCAAGCGTAGAAATCATTTCTATACTACGTACAATTTGTTTATTATATGTATATACAGCTTTAGGGAAATTAAATTACTGATATTTTTATTGCGATTAATATTCAGCATTTTTCGTCGAATATTCGTAATTTATCTGAAAAGAATTATATTCTTGCATACAACAAGCTTTGGAATTCTTCGTACTAATTAGAATTTCTTGTAAAAATACCGACAAATAAGCTTTTCGACAATCTTGTTGCTTACTTTACGAACGTAAGCTATGAAATTAGGTTTCAGTGGAACATCTAAACATAGAAATCCGTCTTAAGACAGGAAACTTGCCGTATGACAAAACATATTTACCTTGTAGAAGCTAATTACAATGACGACGCGTTCAAAAAGGAGTAAATAAAGAAACTGAGGATGATGTATATCGAAAGAAATAAATCATGCCGTTTTTCGACGCTGGTGAATGTTCCTCGGGGCAAAAATCTCATCTCCGACGTACTTAAAGATCGAAAGAGATGAATAAAGACGATAGGAGTGGCGAGAAAGCGAGAGAGAATGGGGAAAGGGAAAACTAGTGAGTTTATTAAAATATAATGGCGTTATCAGGACGGCCGCGAGAGAGTGAAGGGAGAGGCGTCAGCTTTAAGAGGGAAGTTTTCTTAAGTGTTCTTAATTAGAAGGAACCTGTTGCTTCGGAAAAAACCAGGTCACGGCCGTAGACACGCCGACGACGACGCCCCTCCCCCCCCTCCCCCTCCCCCTCTACACCCCCGCGACGTCTACCTCTCCTCTCCTCCTCCGGCAAGCCCCAGACGCGGGCTCGCCCGACGCCCCAGACTCGTAACAGTCATTATTTTCTTCTTATTCTTCTTCTTCTTGTTCGTGCCTCTTCTTACTCTCTCCTTCTCACCCATCGTCGTCAATCTGCTTCCGTTCTTCTTCTCCTACTACAGCACCATCGCACCTTTTTCCACGTTTACTCGTTACCCTCGGGTGCCACAATGCTCCATA